AAAGCACATACGACTATGATGAAACAATGCACGCATATTTCTGCCCATGTACTTTGTTGCGAAAATTCGCATGTATAGAACGTACCTCAGAGTCGCGCGCATTAACAACATCTGGAGTTTGCTCAATTAGCCGCTTCACTTGTTCCAAATCTCCATTTTTCACGGCGTTGAAAATTGGTCGGTCATCCTCTGAATTGGAACCATTCGGCTCGGGATCCAACATCAACATGCGACTCACATAGACTGTTCCTTTCGGGCCTTTGGATACCTTACATGGGAATAATACCAAGATTGGATTTGTTTAGCAAGATTCGTCAAGATGATAGGAAATCTTTAAGCAAACATTTGTTAGCCCAACTTGTTACATATCACTCATCTACTTATATAAACTGTACAAGAGGGAAACAGTGATAGTTCAGTAGGTATGCTGAGACTGACACAATCGATAACCTGAATTTTTTTTGAGAAAACAAGTTTAATGGCTGGGTAAACGAAGAGTGCATAAAATTGATAAGAATTCTCTATGCCAGAGAGAGAGAGAGAAAGAGTGAAATGGATAGGATGCGCAAATTTGCAAATAAGAAAGTGTACGAGATGAATTATGCGGTCAACATGAACGTGTAACGAATGCTGTTCGCAATTACTCCATGTGGTCACGCTCAAAATGCCAGGATAAGCCAAGAATGTTTCTAGGGTCATTGGGCATGGTGAATCTAGCCTCTTCAGCAGCGAGAAACGACTGTGCAACTCGTTCGCAACGACCACATAGGCTGCTTGAACTTTAGCATATACTTGGATTCGAACGTCCGGAAAGTGGGCTGTTGTTATAGAATGACCACACAATGATAAATCCGAAATATCGAAAAATATGGTGGACTCCCTTGGTCATGCAAGTTAATTACCGTAAACTGTAACAAGTAATCGTGGTGCGTTATCAACCGATTGTACTCACTCATAGCGAACTCCTTTTAAACAAAGTACCAAAACATTTTTCAATTTATTCTACCACAGTTTTAAGGTAAAAGGGTGGACGATTTTTTTCAAATTGAAACAATTAATAAGGATAAACAAACACTCCAGAAGATTAATGGGGTCTCCGTCTCTTTTCATCACTGGGATGTTAGTCTAATAGTGAACATCACCTAGCGTGTGATGGAACATCACCTGCCTTTGCAACATAACATACACAAGAACAGAAAAACTACACCTTACAGACAACTGAGTTATGACGGCCCGAAAGATAGCACGTGATTGTATAAGTCACTCACCGAGTTAGCACCATCAAAACTGATTCCTATTGTGGAATATCAATTTAGTTTGGTCGGAAATGCAATCACGCACTTCGTGCTATTCTAACGAGGAAGGTAAGAAGCATATAGTTCGACTAATCATTAGTTCTATGGTCATAATGCGTTCCATTTCTCGAATGATTATACAAACCAAACAACAATATTTCAATGACAATTAACAACCCCTGTAGTGAACATCTGGTTAGGAAGAATCGGAATGAATGCTCCGGGGGCAATGTGCTTATCGAACACCCTTGCGATGGCCCGACACACGCATCGTGCCATGGTCACACCACCGGCAGATGTGGTCCGATCAGTGTGACCTTGACCCTGATGTGAAAATGTTTTAGCCAGGCAGTAGCTGTTGTTGTTCTGTACAAGCAGAACAGGTTGGGGTAAAAACTTGAAACCGTGGGGTGCGTTAGGGTACAAACGGAAACTCAGTTCCGAAAGATATGCAAAGAAAAAGAAACTGTCGAAGTAGAAAACAGGGCTAATTAATTATTTTTCTTTAAATTACACAACTTTGTACGGGAACAGAAGCCGAGGTAGACCCCCATAGTCACGAGAACCTAGTGATCACTTATGGAAGCCGGCAATCTAACTTCTGGGATTAGCAGTGGCGTGGTGTTGAGTCGGATGATAGTGAAGCTACCTGCATCAAAGCTGCCTCGTAATGGCGGGGTTTGAATTTTACTCTAGGGACCAAAGCATGTCGGTGGCAGTAAATTAATCCGTTGAATCATTACCATGACAAGCGTCGGAATTCATTCAATTTCGAAAGTTCAGTGTGCGGATACGGTGAACAAATCAAATAAAGCGGTGCTAAGGAATAGGGATCTAAATCTCATGCACCACTTCCCACCGCCCGATGAGAAACAAGTTACCGAAAGCGCGGATTGAAATCACTTCATTTGAAAGTGTTTCTCACTCAAAATTCAAAAGTAACGGTGACCAATTAGTTGATGAAGTTAGGGAAGAAAACGCCACACAAGGTCAAATCCAAGCAGCCGGAAATAGCATCACATCAGTTTGAGTGAGATCGATAAAATTAATGAGTTTAAATATGAGGCAGCTACCCGGAAACAAAACCTACATTTATATACAGTTTTGATAATTCATTCTAGAGGCGACGTTGCAGGTGATCTGAACATTTCGGGAAAAATGTAGGTTACAAATATATGTATCATTTCGTCCGTTCGCCGAGATTGACAATTGGTTTGCAAACGTTTCATCACTAGCCGAGGTGATATGGACAGTGTTTGTGAAGTGGTGATGAAACGTTCGCAAACAAATTGCCAAGCTCGGCGAACAGGCGAAATGGAATTTAGTTCACCCAAAATAAGAGAACCGATTTTCATTACTGTTTCAATGTATGTATATATATTCAATAAATAATTTACTCCTTTTTGTTTATTGAGTAAACATGCACAGTCGACCTTCAGGATTAAAGTCGCAGTCATGCAATGGCTACCTGCGGAAATAGAAAGGAGTAAAATGGGCAGCTGTGGCCGGATTCAAACTCAGAACCTACAGGGCGCTATGTTGATGGCTTAAACCACTTGCCTAATGCGAGTCATCGTGAAGGACAGTGTTCGTCACAAAAATCGGATTCTCAGCACGTTGTGAACAGTGTTCAGTGGAACAAATCAACTTTGATGCGAGAGGATAGTTGATTGAATGGGTGCCGGGTTGTGCTCTTTTTTTGAATACCTTTAATCAGATATCATCCTAATCAATATTCTGGATAAAAACCACACAAAATTTTGCGAGTTGTCGTGAGTTGATCGACAATTCGTTTAGATTGGATTCATAATTATAAAGGTATGGTCGGTGTGATCGGCAAAACCAGCAGCATGAACGCTGAAACAGGAAAGCGATGAAAACGAGAAATAGTCACACTGTATCCGGACAAAAAGAAAGTAGTCTGACATTGCGTCATACTCCGTATGACTCTGATTTGTCAAAATCGCATTCAAATGATTTTATTTAAAGCATAACCCTAAAAAATACAGGTTGGAAGAGAAGTGTTTTGATGAAGAATGTTTCCGAGCACCAGGTATATTGATGATACAGTAATAATCGAAGGCTTCAAGAATAAAGTTTGGGCTCAGGGATCGCCTCCGGCTCATCCGTTAGCATAACTAAAAAGTAAAACTTGAGTGGTATGTTAATACACATTTGGCCAGGTGTGCGCAACTTTGCAATACCGCTTAACAACCGGGAACATTGTGGCTACTGAAAATGTGACCCCGACCGATGCTGAACTCTTAACAATATGTTTATATTATATCATAAAATGTCTTCAATCAGTAATTTGCGACGTCTACCAACCCTCTCCACCTAGCAATCACCTCTTTATTAGGTAGTCAAAATTACAACACAAGGGAGGTGGGAGATGGAACAAACCGACAACTGTTCAATGTAAGAATATAGTCAGGGAAATAAAGTCTGCAAGAGAGATCGGAAAAACAATTAGAATTATTTTATTTTAATTTACACCAGGTCGGCAACCAGTCTAGTGACAAAGCAACAGCGAAAAAACTGGTATAGTTGTTATGAAGTAGCAGGAACAAGCGGAAAGGAGTGTTGAAGGACTTATTTTCTAATATAAAAAGGAACACGCTGCACACAAAAAAAGAGAATTGAAATTGAAATATGTAGTGGAAGCATTATGCGGTGGTCACAACCACGTTGAATGCTACTAGCAAAGAGGAGCCCCCGATCACATTGTACATCGAACCGGGGAAGTTGGATGAAGAGATTCGCTAAAAATGTTTAAAAAAAGAACGGAGCTCATTATGAGATTCGATAAATCGACAACTCCTGCCGATGTCAATTCTAATCACAATGCTCACATTCACAATGATACAACTTCGTAAAAATGAAATCGCAATTTCATTTCCATAGAACTCGCGCTGTCGATTGAAATGATAACTCGAGTCCGCGAGGATTTTCTTCCTTTGCGAGCCTCATTTAAGCCACCAATTACGGGATGACTATCCAATGAAAACGCACTAAATTCTCTGCAAGAAAGTTTAAATTGATTGTTTTTCCTTATTGGACGAGCTATATTCTGTTTCATCGCCACACAAACATACAGCAAGTTCAAGGATTTCATCAACTTGAGGAATATGGTTTACACGAAAACTCTGATGAATTCCGGTGAAAAAATGTAATAGGCATGAACTAAGTGTCGGGTGTGCTAATACAATAAGTATATGCTGACGAAGAATTTCTAGGCTGAAGACATGAAAAAGGTTCAAACTACACCAAATCTCGTGTGCGATCTATTCACCTCCGACAGCTATCATCACAACCTTCTTCACTGTCCTGCAACTGGGTCAAATGCTCGCATCGATTCGACATAGAAACAACAATTATGCAAAATGTAGCCTGAATATTGTAAACATCTACTGCGAAACAGTCACATATTTAAACCGTGTGAAGTTTGAGTGAGACCGAATGCCGTAACGGGACATTCGAACCGGGCATGGAAAAGTGCGATTAATTAAAAATTAATTAAAATTAATTAATTAATTAATTAAAAAATGTATACGGATAGACCGACTGACTAAATGACATGTGGGATGGGCGACTAGATAGACCTAGATTTATGTATAATAAACCCGTCAGGTTCCGAGAATGATGACTGAGTTCAGACGAATGTTTGGGCATTTAGAAACAAACGTTTAGCACGGGTTCGTAAAATACATACATTAAACCGCTTCGGGTACTGCATCAGTGCCAGCAAACCTTCATCGCCAGAATCACTGCACCAAAACATTGCCACCTGATTAGCCCAGATAGGAAACCAGAAATTCGTTTTGATCATGATTTTTTGCTCCAGGTCAGCCATTCAAACCAAGCATGTCTTATTCCAAATGTATCAACTGATCGAATAAAAAAAGCGAAATGACATTAAAATTGTACCAGGTGACGTTTCAGATTGTTATGGTTCACCAGAATAGCACAGTCGAAAGAATAAACCAACACGGAATGATAAGATAAAGAGAAATCCAAAAACTGGAGAATGACACCGCATAGAATGCACGTGTTTCATCCTATCACGATTTCATTTTGCACATAGCACTAAATTTGAAGTGCTCTCATTGATCATGAGCGTAAGTTATCAGTCTGTACAACCATTAACCATGAGCTTTCGTGCGCCAGTTTTGGTTGCTCTATTTTGTCTGCCCAGTTAGATGAAGAATAGGAGAATAAAGGAAAGTTGAAAGTAGAGTCGAACAGAACACGGAGAATTGCAATGGTTTAAGGTTGTAAAGAAATTTAGACATGCGTAACACATGTCCCAAACCAAAGTAATCTAAGGAGGTAGACCGCTTTCTCCAGTGTAAGTTATTGTCAAAACCGGAAGTCAACCTCGCATTTCGTGACTGGAGAGGGTGCAGTTCTTTTTCTAAGCGACGAAATTCCATAACAATCATATGACTGTCAACAAGGGTCACTTCACAGAACTGACGTGAATAAAAACAGTGACTTTTTAAAGAGAATATCTGACGCCAAATCATCTGTCTCCTGATGACCTCAGACAATAAGACTTGGTTTGAACTACCGCGTTAATGCAACAGCCTTCGCGCGCAACATCCATACTGATAACTTCATTGTCAAAATAGTCCCACAGAGCACATTTCAAACAAAACAACAAAGTGACGAACAAGTTCATTTTCAGAGATTCGGATTCATGCCAATACATCCCAATATATGTCACTACTTGGGAATTAGGGGAGAAATCTAGAAACGGCAATTCGCAGTTACACTTCATTCCTAAAGTAAGTTATGTTGGGACGCGCAGTCTTGAATCCATTTAGCAGTTCCGATGTGTTCGATGTGGCACTGATCACAACATAAATGTCATCTACGTGCCGCATGTATAGTGTAGTTTCTAGATGTCTGCATCACCCGGTGATCAGATGGTTCGGTGCAGCGTTTCGTGCATAAAAAGGCAACTTGGAAAGACCAAAACATTCATTTCCGAAGCTTTGTACCACTTAAGTTAAAAAGGAACCTGGTTCGTTGCCTAGCGGACAGGGCAAGAAGCATCTGCAGTAAGGACACGCTAGAAGAAGAGCTTCGAACTATAAAATCGATCTATTCACGTAACGCGTATCCGGAGCGTTTAGTCAACAAGATGATTCAGTGCACGGAAAACACCGAAGTTAAGAAAAAAATCCGTGTACAGTTCTTTACTGCTCAAAAGGGACACATAAGCTGAGATAATACAAAGAGTATTTTTTACGGCGCAAGCGATAAGACTCTCTGTGCATCCAAGTTTCACGTGTTGTTCACGTCCAAGCCCATTTTGTGTCTACGACTGAAGGACAAAGTTCCAGACTCTGCTGTCTCATTCT